TTGCTTGTTTATGCGGCCCGGTTGTTGGCTTGCTGTGGCCCGGTGCTGGTCCATGGACCAGGGGTTGGGGACCCCTGTACTAGAAGCTACAAAGTGCAATAAACGTCATGGATGAAGATCATAGAAACTCCCTTGCACAAACTTATCCAAAAATGATATGACCATGTGCATGGAATCACCAGGAATTGAGCTCAACTTGAAAGATTTACTTTTGAAAGGCCTACTTTACATTGGTCACATTTTTTCGTTTCTTTCTCGTCTCAAAATAAGAATAAGAGAATTTTCAGAGCTGCAAATAGGAGGTTGGGCCCATTCCTGGTCAGCAAGAGAAGAGGAGGGTGAATTTTCTCCCTGAGGTCTTCCCCAGTTCCAAGTTCCAAATCACCAGAAGGCTGTTTGAGATGCATGAATCCCAGGTGACAGTTTTTGCACTTGAGCATTCCTGTCCTGTTTGTTGGAAAAGGGCCCTCCTTGTGGGAATTCAATACCTAGAGAGAGAAAAATGGTCCTGCAGGTTCCCTTTTGTTTCTTCCTCCCCCTCTATTTCTTAATCACTTCTTTGGTTTCATTTAAGTTATCAAATAACAGCATCTCCCAGGTCTTGCCTTCACCAGGAATGAGTATATTCACACCAGAACCTCCTCTTGCCTCACTAGGAAAGGGGGGGGGGAGGAAACTGCATCTTATCACAGCTGTTTCTAGCAGCTGTGCTTTAGGCAGGGGGTGTTAATTGATAATTTATGTCTTTCCTGTCACAAAGTGTTATTTTGAGGTATTAGCAGCTTCTGCTAACACCCGGTCCTTGGATAAAAGCAATAAAATTAAAGGGTGAAGGGGTGTGTGTGTGTCCAAGTGCCCTTTTTAAAGAAAAATACATTTGTTCTAATTTTTTTTTGGGGGGGGGGAAGTGGGAACTTCATTTTATAAAAATATATCTTCATTTGTTCATTTGAAGCTAGTCAAGAGAAAAGAAGGACTAGGGGGTTACTTGATAGCAGTATTGCAGTATTTGAGAGGCTGCCACAAAGAAGAAGAGGGGGTCAACTTATTTTCCAAAGCACCAGTAGGCAAGACAAGAAACAATGGATGGAAACTAATCAAGGAGAGAAGCAACCTGGAATTAAGGAGAAACTTCCTAACAGTGAGGACAATTAACCAATGGAACAGCTTGCCTTCAGAAGTTGTGGGTGCTTCATCACTCGAGGTTTTTAAGAAAAGACTAGACAGTCACTTGTCTGAAATGGTATAGGGCAGGGGTAGGCAACCTTGGCTCTTTTATGATTCGTGGACTTCGTGGACCCATGCTGGCTCAGGAATTCTGGGAGTTGAAGTCCATGAGTCATAAAAAAACCAAGGTTGCCTACCCCTGGATAGAGTCTCCTGCTTGAGTAGGAGGTTGGACTAGAAATCTTTCAAGGTCCCTTCCAGCTCTATTCCTTATGAGCAGCAGGTGTCTGTCTGTGTCTGTGTGCATACATGTCCACGCTTTTATTTAGTTGGTGTTCAGTTGGAAAACAGGAGTGAGAAGCTTACTTGTATATACTAATGAGTAGAAAAGGTGCTATTTTGGTCCTTCTGTGGCACATTGCATCCTCATTCAATGAACTCAAGCATCTGTAGCAGAAAAGTCTATGCAGGAAAAGTAATTCAATATGATTGCTTCACAGAGGCGTACGCTCTAGGCCCATTAGGAAAATAAAAAGAGACAAGGTAAGCGGAAATTAAACAGACTAAGGGAGAGAATGGGGAGAGGAAAGCAAGTTCAGGTAGGATTACTGGAAATGATTTTTTACAATCAAATGTTATTGCTTTTCTCCAGACTGTAGGCTGTAGAGGTAAAGCCGCATATCTAAATCTCTCATACCAGAAATTCATTTATCTAGGAAATGAACATATCAAGGCAAAAGAATCAGCCCCCCTTTCTACTTGGCCTGCCATTTTGTGTATGTGTTATGGTTCAAGAGCCCATATGCATGTGGACTGCAGACCATTCTTTCCTGATTTAATAATTTACTACAATCCATTAAGTTACATCACTTAATTCTGCTGACCATAGAAATTCGGATCCAGGTATATGCAAGAATGAATACCTTAGCATAGGTAGTCCTTGACTTATGACCACAATTGAGCCCAGAATTTATGTTGCTAAGTGAGACATTTGCTAAGTGAGTTTTGCCCCATTTTATGATTTTTCTTGCACATTTGTTAGGGGAATCTCTACAGTTGTTAAGTTAGTAACACCGTTGTGAAGTGAATCTGGCTTCCCCATTGACTTTGCTTGTCAGAAGATTGCAAAAGGTGACCACGTGATCCTGGGACACCGCAACCGTCATAAATATGAACCAGCTGTTGAGCATCCAAATGTAAATCATGTGAACATGAGGCTTATAAGTGTGAAAAATGTTCATAAGTCACTTTTTTCAGTGTCATTGTGACTTCAAATGGTCACTAAATGAACTGTTGTAAGTTTAGGATTACTTGTACTTTTTGTTGTTGTTAATTGCGAAGTCGTGTCCGACCCATCGCGACCCCATAGACAACGTTCCTCCAGGTCTTCCTGTCCTCTACCATTTTCTGGAGTCCATTTAAGCTCACGCCTACTGCTTCAGTGACTCCTGTACTTTAAGCTTGCTTAAAGCTTACCTCTGTCTCTTTCTTTGTTGGGAAAGACTATCCAGATTATTGAACTCTAAAGCTTGTGGTAGTCCTTTCTAGGCATCCATACCTGGGAGCAGCCTGAATGAGTGTGGTGGAATCTATTTCTGAGCAACCGTGCATAGTGTTGTCACGTCAATTAATATGCCTGACTTCTGGTGTGATATTTAAGGTAAGTGATACAGAAAGGCAGCTGTCTGAATGTAAACAAGCCACACAACCACAAGTAGGCGCTTTCCTTTCCTTTTGTCTTGAATAAACTGGTTTAGTTTATAAAGAAAATAATGGGGTTGAAGAAGGATTTATTTAGCAACAATGCTTCAGGACATCCTATCTCAACTACTGTGATTCATAGCCTTCTTATCCACATTTCCTCTTCGTATGAATCATTGTATTTCAAAACTGGTATTTCAAAACTATTTCCCCATTTCACCTATGTTACGTGTTTTAGCCTCCAAGGAGAGATTCCTGAAAAATACATGTTTGGCTGTTGGAACACATTTCAGCTTTGACATCCTAATGATTGGCCCTGGATCTATACACCACTAACATATAGGAAGAGAAAACACAGGGTTTTTTTTTTCCCCTCATCCCTGCTGGGTGGGAAATAAGAAGCTGGCATTTCCTCTTTTAAACTATTCAAAAGCTGGTTTTAAATAGGATTAACGTCTTAACAGATGCTTCATGGTGTGCTCTCTGCGGGGAGGATCAAAGAGCAAAGAAGGTCCTCTGACTGTTTGCTGTTCCTTTATGTAGCAATTTTACAGTGGGAGGAGGAGAAGGCTGGCCCCTTTTGCCTTTTATTTTAAAAATAATGAAACAGGGTCACAAATTAACTTAAAATTGCAAATTGGATTGCAGATTCCACTGGACTTTTCAGGTGTTTATTTTCTCTAGTGTAATAGAGATGCTATACCATCTATATCAAGATACCTATATACCTGGTCCAGATTAGTTCCATTAATCCCAGGGATGAAAAGAACTACAAGAGGCTACATACAGTGCAACTCCTACTCAGTCCCTGGAAGCTGGAAAAGAGATTCTCAAGACTATAAGCCATGTATGTTTAGCACCATTCTTCAAATTACAACTTTTAGATATTTTTGGTATATGCATGGTTATTCAGTCGTCCTTTGACTCACTTGGCCTCAATTATATCCTTAACATGGAAGCCATGATCCAAATATATGTGGTGTGATATGCATTTACACTAAGCAAAAAACAAAACAAAACAAAAAAAAACAATAAATACATAATTCAAAAAAATTAAAAACGATGGCAGGAACATTTTTTAAATCATTCTTGGATTAACTCTCCTGAATTCAGTTTTCAAAGAATGGTGGTGAAGGTGCTGGCCTAGAAACCAGGAGGCTGTGAGTTCTAGTCCCATTTTAGGCATGAAAGCCAGCTGGGTGACTTTGGGTCGGTCTCTTTCTCTCTCAGCCCAACTCACCACACTGGTGAGGAGAAAGGAGTATTATATATGTTCGTAGCATTGCGTTACTTATAAAGTAGTAAAGATGGGATAAAATTAAATACATTTCATTCCTCCTCTATGGTTCTAGAGAAATATATTCCAGTGTAATTGAATGGAAGGAGTCAGAATGGCCACATCCAAAATCCCTTTACCCACCAGACTTATTCATTATTGAATTAGCATGCCTAAAGAGTTAGCAACATTTTCAAACCTGGGTCATCCCAGTTGTTTTAATCTTCATTCTTGATTATTGGCTATGCTGGTTGAGGGCTAATGGGAAACAACTGAAGGGACCCAAGTTAGCAGGGCCAGCTCTGGACATTTACAGTAGGTAACCTATGGTGCTGGAGAAGACTCCTACGAGTCCCTTGGACTGCAAGGAGTTCAAACAGGTCAGTCCTAGAAGAGATTAACCCCAACTGCTCTTTAGAAGGCCAGATCCTGAAGTTGAAACTCAAATACTTTGGCCACCTAATGAGAAGGAAGGACTCACTGGAGAAGGGCCTAATGCTGGGAAAGATTGAGGGCAATAGAAGAAGGGGACGACAGAGAATGAGATGGCTGGATGGAGTCACTGAAGCAGTAGGTGTGAACTTAAATGGAAGATAGTAGAGGACAGGAAGATCTGGAGGAACGTTGTCCATGGGGTCGCAATGGATCGGACACGACTTTGCAATTAACAACAACAACAACAAAACCTAAGAAAAGTCATATTCTGATACCCCTGTGGTTTGGTTCATCTTCTGATTTTGTTATTACTTTCAAAAAGGTACTCTCTTGTTTCTTAATTATATTTAACCCTCAAGTTGACACACTGGTTCAAGGAATATGCTATTACTGCTTTTCGCTATTTTACTGTGTTTTTCAGACGTCTTCAATTTTGGGGTCCTCCCTCAAGTAATGGCACCGCAGGCTGGTATCCATTCTGCCTTAGCCTAAAGCTGGCCTGTGGGGATGCTAATATTTTTGGCTGGTTCTTCTGCTCTGTGTTATTCTGGACACCTGGAAGGAGTATGGAATAGAAGATGCAATTACTAAACTCTGCTTTAGAATCTAATAAAACTTCTGCACATTGGATTTGTTTTTGTTTTCTGGTAATATAATGATGAGCACTTGATATTGGTTTAGTTTGTGGCAAAATATGCCTAAACTAATATGTATTGTCATTGATGTCTATGGATACTCTCAGTCATCCAGGTCATAATTATACCAAAGATGCTTTTTTTTTTTTTTCACAAGGCAACTGGACTTTCTTGTTACAAAAAAGAAAATATATCTGAAAGAGAGAGAAAAAGGAAAGATGTTAGACATCGGAATGAAGGTCTAAATATGTACAGGGAATTGAAGGGATAGCCTTAATTATAAACAAATGGGCCAAAACAGTATGTGAGAAACTGAATGTGCCTTTGTTACAAAACTAGCTGGTCATCTTTGCATATTATGCTCCCATGAATAAGAAGAACCAGAGATGAATTTTGGGAAAAAATGTATAATATTTTGAATGAATGTGATCCAGATGTAAAAGTATTTTGGTAAGTGATGTAGATAAATGGATGGTAACAAAATGAGATACCACATAAAAATGGGTTTAGGCTAATGGGAGATCCCAGTATGAGAATAATGACACTTAAATGAATAATTACTTAGAAAGAGTTTTGTTAGACAGCATCACCACCAGATGGATTTGTAGCTGGCTGACTGGCCGTACTCAGTGTGTGGTCCTCAATGGAACTGCATCTACATAGAGGAAAGTGTATAGTGGGGTGCCCCAGGGCTCTGTTCTAGGCCCAGTGCTCTTCAACATCTTCATCAACGATTTGGATGAGGGGATAGATGGGGAACTCATCAAATTTGCAGATGACACCAAGCTGGCAGGAATAGCCAACACTCCAGAAGACAGGCTTAAGATACAGGAGGATCTGGACAGACTTGAACACTGGGCGCTATCTAACAAAATGAAATTCAATGGTGAAAAAAGTAAGGTTCTACATTTAGGCAAGAAAAACCAAATGTACAGGTATAGTATAGGGAGTACCTTGCTCAATAGTAGTAACTGTGAGAGGGACCTCGGAGTCCTAGTGGACAATCACTAAATATGAGCCAGCAGTGTGCTGCAGCTGCCAAAAAGGCCAACACAGTGCTAGGCTGCATTAACAGAGGGATAGAATCCAGATCACGTGAAGTATTAATACCACTTTACAATGCCTTGGTAAGGCCACACTTGGAATACTGCATCCAGTTTTGGTCACCACGATGTAAAAAAGATGCTGAGACTCTAGAAAGAGTACAGAGAAGAGCAACAAAGATGATTAGGGGACTGGAGGAACGGTAGCTGGAATTGGGTATGTCTAGTTTAATGAAGAGAAGGATGAGTGGGGACATGATAGCAGTGTTCCAATATCTCAGGGGCTGCCACAAAGAAGAGGGAGTCAAGCTATTTTCCAAAGTGCCTGAGGGCAGGACAAGAAGCAAGGGATGGAAACTAATCAAGGAGAGAAGCAACCTAGAACTAAGGAGAAACTTCCTGACAGTTAGAACAATTAACCAATGCAACAACCTGCCTCCAGAAGCGGTGAATGCTCCAGCACTGGAAGTTTTTAAGAAGAGACTGGACAACCATCTGTCCGAAATGTAGGGTTTCCTGCCTGAGCAGGGGGTTGGACTCAATGACCTCCAAGGTCCCTTCCAACTTTATTATTATTATTATTATTATTATTATTATTATTATTATTATTATTATTATTGGATCATCGCACAATCAGCCAGATGTTCAGACTGGATTTGGCATTTTGTCTACCTATCGAGTCCTTACCCAGGACCTGGGATAGGCAGATGTGGATGTTTGATGGTATTACAAATATCGTTGCAGGATGGAAGCAGTTCCTGGTAAGGCCTCCTTTTGCAATTGACTAATAGCAAATTTGTCAATGCCAATGGTGTTCAAGTGGTGCTCCTTGAACACCATTATTATTATTGATGTAATAATAATAATTATTATTATCTTACAGTCAGATAATGAACTTCCATTACTGGGGGAAGACTTGAGTCTAGATTCCCCTAATACTACTACAATCTCTTAACTGCAGTGAATCTCAATGTGATCTTAAATGTGTGATTCTGGGATAATTAAAGTGTATATATGGCAAAATAATGAATATAAATCTTAAAATTGTGATTGATTTGTTCGCTAATGATGAGATATTGACATAATTAGTGAAATATACAGTGATTGCAAGAAAATTTGAATATGGGATAGAATATTTTTAGTAATCTCATTTTAATAATGTGAATCTTGCAAGAAATAGACATTAAAGAAGTTAAAGAAATGAGAGTGCACATTGGGCTGCAAAAAGTTATTCTATATAAAAAAGTCCCAACAGAATAAAATAAAAGTGGACATAAGGGAAGAAAATGTAAATGACAAACGTAACAGAGTAAAAAGGACTATATTACCCAGTGCCTCAGAAATTTGTGGATTTACTATACAGTAAAGAAAATGATGAAAAAGAATGATGAGGTGAAAGAAGCTGTGGATGAAAAAAATGTATAAGAACATTATTGCTGAAAAACATGAGGCTAAGAGAAAGATGTATGTGTAAAGAGAAAACAAAGAAGTTGGAAATATGGGCAAAGAAAATAAAAAATGCTCAATAGTAAAAGAGGCAGAGAAATTACAGAGCATTTTTGATGGAAAAAAAAAAACTTTGGAAGTAGGTCAAGTAGGGGAAGAGGACCAGTAAGAAGACTTTGTTGGAAGAAATTGAACTAAAAAGGAAATAGGTGAAATTATTAGGGTTGAAACTGAAGTGAGGGAATAACAGAAAGAGAACTTTAGAGATCTTTATAAGAATAGTAGTGGTATGTTGAAGTATGAAATTGAAAGCAGCACTATAAACATTAGTGCCAAAAATGCAATGAGAATATTAAAAAATGGTAAGACCGTAATTGGAGATTGTAAAATATGAATGTGACTTGCTTATGCATTAGCTTGATAAGTTGGTTAATATGCGTGTGCAGATTTATTTAAGAATTATATGGTATGGTTGGCAAATTAGTTAGTATTGAGAAGGAATTGTTGTTGAAAATTAGAATTCAATTGATATGTTGGAGTGGGATGTTCTGATATTTTTTTAATGGAGTTTAGCAATAGGTATTATCTCAAGTGACTATTCTGAGTTCTGTTATCACTTTAGCGCCTAATGACAGTACTTTAAGAGCCAGCTGAATAATCCTGAGGGATATTACCTGTAATAGCAATGATTATTTACAGGAAACATAGTAAAACGTGACTCTTCTTATCTAAACAGTTGGATGCAATTGAAAACATCTGCAAAAAACACATGATGCCATCCTAAAATGATCTGGAAGTTAGTGGGCTGGTTAATTAATAATTAAGGGACTGCATCACCTGAAGCCAACCATCACAGATGATATGTCTGAATAAGGAGCTTGATCAGTATGCCCGACAACACCCCAAACTACAAACAAGAATAGCTTTGACTAAGTTGGAATAGCTGAAAAGCAACATCAAAGCAAGGCACCCTCACAGGGAAAACAGGTAGCCTGGAAGAAATATTGCTAAAGATATATCTTTACTCATTTTCCTTATTTGGACAATTTGCCGCTGAACCTCAGGAGACTTTCAATTTTATACTCTGGCTTCCTCTGCTTTCTTGAACTTGGTGAATGTCCTGATGCTACTAGCTGCCTGGGAGTCTACCAAGGCAACAGGTTTTCACTTGGAACCCAGTCTCTGTCCCCAGAGAAAGCAGAAAGGACCTCGAAAACTTCACTGTGAAGATGTAGAATAGGAAGGTGGGAGGGGGGGGGGGAGAAACAGCACTTCTCCTTTAGCTGTTTGTTTAATCCGACACAGATCTCAAGTAATCAGTTCATTTTATGGCCTATATTTGATGACTGCTAAACTGGGGCAGTGCCTTTTAAGGGAAAGGCTAGATTATATAGTCTGGTTTGTTAAGGGCACCTTGAATGAAAGCCATAGCTCAAAAGGTCAAGAGAGTAACTCTGTGTGCCATGGGTTCTTCTCTGCCAAAGCACTTTCCAGAATCTGACCTAAGACAGCTCCATGCTCTGTTGCCTTTGGGATGGGATTAGCCTTGATCTCTCTTGCTGTTTGCTGCCCATCTGGACAGCACACATGCCTTCCCCAGCCTTCTCTCTCTCACAGACATTCATACATTGCATGTATCCAAACTCATCATAAGTGAGAATGACCAGAAGACTCAAAGTATAGATAGGAAATGCATATACTGTGGTGTAAGTGGACTTCTACTCATGCAGTAGGGGTTTCCTTTGCCCTCTTCTTTTGAATTCCTGGGTAGATTCTTCAAAGTTGCTCTGATGGGCACATAAGGAACACACACACAGAAGAACGCCATTCAGTATCAGTGTCATTTGGTGGATGACAGAATAGGATGTAATGCTATGCTTGCAATGCTTACAACTCCCTGTTTTCTCTGAATGGAGCTTGCTGTCCTGGAAGGAAACTTCTCCTCAGACTTAATGAAATAAGGTGTCCTCTTGGGTTTTGCTACTGAAGGTAGTGTGAATGCTCAAGAATGACTAACTGAGAATCTTAGCAAGCCTTGCCCCATTGTCTCACACCATGCCATACATAGCTCAAGATGAATAACAGAGTTGGAAGGGACCTTGGAGGTCTTATACTCCAACCCCCTGCTTATACCATTTTAGACAAATGGCTGTCCAATCTCTTTTTAAAAACCTCCAGTGATGGAGCACTCACAACTTCTAAAGGCAAGCCGTTCCACTGATGGATTGTTCTAACAGTCAGGAAATTTCTTCTTATTTCTAGGTTGGTTCTCTCCTTGATTAGTTTCCATCCATTGCTTCTTGTCCTGCCTTCAGATGCTTTGGAGAATAGGTTGACCCCCCCCCTCTTCTTTGTTGCAGCCCTTCAAATATTGGAACTATCATGTCATCCCTAGTCTTTCTTTTCATTAGATTAGACATACTCAATTCCTGTAACCGATTCCTGCAATAGATATAGATAAATACTCCCTTGAATTGCACTCAATTTCTGAAACTACATAGAAT